TTTTTTTTTTTTTTTTTTTTTTTCTCTCCTGAAACACACATTTCCAGAGGCGGTTCCACTGGTTGGCGGTGATGGTGGTGGTAGCGGCAATAAACTTTGCTTTATTTTTACTACCCCTCTGGCCAAGTACCGCCCCGTATTTCCTTGGGATATTGACATATCGGGGGTGGCTAGGCTTCTCCTCTTAACGCCCTTTTTACACTGCCACGGAATTTATGTCTTCTTCCTCCGCGTTTCCTTTCCACCACCGAGCCACACCGCTTCCACCCTTCTTTTCCCACCTTTGCCCCGATCTACATCTCCAGCAAGCTTCTCTCTCGCCCTTTCTTTCGTATTTTCTGGATTACTTATTAGCAGAATTTCTTCTATCTTTCTTTGTGTTCTCGGATTGGCTTCTCCTTCGTTCGTCGATCCTCCCCTTCCTCCACGATTTCCTCCACGATGGGGAGGAATACAATCAATCGCGCGTATCCCTACGTTTGCAGAAATTCAACGTCTATCAAACGTCGTAATAAACGGGGACATTTTCCTCTTGGCTAATCACGATCCGTTTATCGAACACGAGAATTTTTTACGCTATAATGAGAAAATGTGGAAGATGCGGATTAATTTTAATTATAGATTTGTCCAATAATGATTTCCACTAACATTATACTTAAACATCGTACAATTTACGAACTGTTTTACAATAAAACCTGTTTTCTTAAAACGTTATTTCCTTTTTCAATCTGAGAAAAGAAAAAAAAAAGAACTGTTTCGAAAATAAAATAACACAAAAATATATCCAAATTTCAAAATTTCAACTTAGTAACTTGCAACTTAAACTCGCAACTTGGTTTCGTAAAAGCAAGACCGGCTACCTCGACGGAACGACAGTTTATTAATTGTCACGAGGTCGAGGGTCTCCCGCGGAAAGTGCAATAAAAGCGAAAAAAAGGGGAGAGGTTGGAGCAAAAACAATGAGCAATCGCTCGTCCAGGGGCTTATATCCTTCGTGGTGGTCCGTTTTTCGCCGCTTTTGTATTTATCGGCGTCACGGGACACAACGGCGTAAGAGCGACTCGAACGAACGAAAAAAAAAGAAAAAAAAGAGAGAAAGAGAGGAGATCGGAGCGAGAGAGGACAGTCGTGGGGGGAGGGGAGGAGACATAGTGGTCAGGGGATGGACGATCGAGGGAAAAACGTAATACCACGGATCGGAATGTTGGACAGGAAACGGATCGAATGGATGAAACAAAGGTCGCTATGGCAAAATCGTTTGAACTGCGATTGCAATCGGGGAGAAGAACGTGGAAACCAGCCGCATACCGTCATTTCACAGAGAAGAATTACATTTTCTAGACAAGGCAACCGTGGTACGTTGGGTCAATATAACGGGAACCACAGTGAAATAAATAGATTCCGTGGTAATCATCGGACGCCACAGGTGCGTTTGCACGGAAGTCGAGTTTGAAGCAACGATTTTACGTGTGTTCGAAATTGGGTCGAATGGATCGAACAGATTAATGAATCGGTTTCGGAGAAACATTTTTCGATTTATAACAATTTTGTATCTATCGATATAATTATTGGAAAAATATCAAATGGATTTCATCGGTGAAACTGATTTCATTTTTTGTTTACGATAGCATTAAAGTTATATGGAATTACGAAACACATATAGTAGAATATAATAGTTTCATATTTATAATATCCCGTTTAACGGTTCAAAACATAATTAAACTTCTTTACTATTATCCTTATCAGGATTTATTCCTGAGTTTTCTTATTTTCTACTTCAAAACTTACAATTAAATAAAATTAAATCAAGTTAAATATCTTTAATATAAACTATATCCAGTTTCTACTAAAATAGCACGTATTTTAAAATCCCTTTATTCCTAATATTTACATTTTTAATTTATAATTTAATAATCTCGGTTTCACGTAAAAAAATATCAATTCGAATACTTCTCATTCGAAAGGAATTGAAAGAACTTTAAATGTATCTGATTAAAATGAAAAGAAACTAGATATAGGAAATTTTTAACTAGGGATGATTCTCGGCAGGGGGGGATTCTATGAGAAACGAAAGCTCGTTTAAAATGTGAGCATTTACCGTTTCTTAATTGCGTGCCATCTGCGAAGAGACGTAGCTACGTGAAAAAAGGCCGTTTCTCTAATCCTTCCTCTGGTTTCAGGTCAAGTGGACCTTTGGACGCAAACGACGAACGGGTGCGCGTGCAGTTTTAATTCGTCCAGCAACGAATGCGCGTGCTGCGTCCCATCCGGAGGATGCAGTTGCGGAGCCGCGTCGCCGGACAGATGTGCTCAGTGCGGGTTGGAGCAATACTGCGCCAACAGTAAGTAGAGTCGTTATGCTTCATGACCATTAGTCTCAATATTCCTTGCGTCGCTTTAAGCGGCGGGTTGTACGCGAATTTACAACCAGCGGCTCATTTAGCGCGCATATCTCGAGATAAGAATTTCTTAAGAATTCCAGATCAATTTCACATCTGGATTTTTCGAATAATTTAGAATTTATTTATCTGATAACTTGTATTTTATCCTTTTTTGGGGGGGAGATTATCGTGTACCGTATTTTTTGATACCTTAGCTTTTAATTATTATATTTCTAGTTTTCTTTGAAATTCGAATAACTCGGGATTTGTTAATTTATCGTTATTTCGAATTTTTGAATCGTCTTATTAAGGCATTCTTTCGTTCTTATTCTAACTTTTTTTATAGAATTAATTTAATTTATCGTCTTATTTATGTGTTTTATATAATAATAATGTATTTAAAAAGAACTGCTACAAAGAAAGGAAAAAGATTAAATTCTTTTTTGTATTCATATTTTAATTAATCGAACGGTGAAACCACGAACAAGTTTTCCAATCGAGCGAAATTCGCACGCGTCTAAAACTGTAACTTCCAGTTAAATCCTTTCCATATTAAACTTGTTAGAGATTCAACTAGCAACTCGTAACGTCATTACCGTCCCTCCTTTCGATCGATTGATTTGTATATTTACTTCCATCTCTGCCGATGGCAATGTAATTTCGTGACGTCAAAAATGCAATTGCCGTCCCTTTGATCCCGCATCGTCGTTAAAAAACAAGATTTACGCCATTAACCCAGTCTTTGTCGTCTTCTTAGCCGAGGGTGTTTCGCGTTTTCCGTGAACAAATGGAAATTAAACCGCGTGGAAAGAAGTGGTTTCTCTCGAATGGCACGCAGCAGATGATCGATGTCTTAGAATCATCATGAGAAAAATATAGAATTGATTCTTTTATAAGTTAAAAGAAGTTTTTTCTTTTTCTTTTTTTTAGTCTAATATCATATCAGAAGAAACAGAATTTGTTGAAAATTTTTAATATACCAAACTTGCAGCTGATTAAATATCTGAGAAAGCACACCGCACTTCTATTAATATAAACTTTCCTTATCGAACAATCAGTTTGCCAAAGTTTGTTAGAAGTCTTAACATCGCTAAATTTCTAAAAGAAAGCGTAAAATAACGTTGGAGCGAAGTTGTGGAAAGGGGAAAAGGAAATTTCACCCGAATGTTTGTTGAACAAGCCACTCCACCGGAACCGTTTTCGCAAAGTATAAATCCTACTACTGAAATTACTACCGTGTCCCGAGCATTTCTTTCTGCTAACTAATTACGTCAGTGGGTTCTTCTTTCCTACCCCGTTCATCCATCTACAGCTTTCTCTTACCCACGTTAATTACATCTGACGTTATTGGCCCTCCCCCCACATCCCATCCATCAAACCTTTCTTTCCTTTGAGACCTTCTTCTACACACGAAGTTGAAACGTACACCCTCTCCCCCTCGCCCCTCTCCCTCTTTCCCCTCCGTCTTTTAATCATACCAGAACCATTAATGGCGTCTTACTTTTACTTCTTTTCTCGGCGCGTCTCGATTATTTTTCAACCTCTCTCTTCTCGCCAAAGTCTATGAAATCCTCATCGACCAACTTAACGAGTTTCCAATTAATTGATTTATCGATTTAATCGGCTTTAAGCGTGTTTCCATTAATTCAAAACTTCGTTTTTAATCCCTTAAAGAAAAGAATTAGGAACCGATAGAATTAATATCGTTCGTAATGTTTTTTTAAGATATCGAAGTTGTGTGCACATCTCATCAATTCGAGGTTCTTATTTTTCGTTTATTGTTACGTGCACGAGGAAATATACTCGATTCGTATTCAATTCTGTCATAGAGTTTTTCTAAATCATTGTTCGAAAAAGAAGAAAGTCTTTTCTTTCTTTTTTTTCTTTTTGTATTGAATTCACGAGGAATTAAGAATCGATTTATACGAGAGAGAAAAGTGTTAGAGCGTTGCGTGTCATTGTCGCGACTGGTCGTCGCCTCGAATGGAAAAGACGAAGATCCGTTGTCTCGCGCGGGCGTCGATGGGACGATGCGAGTAAGAAAAATCGTTATGAGCGACGCAGCATTTTTCTTTCGCGGCTGTGCTTCCACGTGACCCGGATTTTTGTCCAGACAATGGCGAAATATATCGCGATACATCGGAATGAATGATTCGGGATTCGAAAAATTCCGCGCCGCGTCATTTCTTTGATCGATCGAAAAATGTTTTTATTGTTTATTTTGCGAAATCGTAATACTTTAAGCAAGAAAATTAAGTAACGAAGTGGTAATAAAAATTGGATTGATATTATTGTAAAAGTGTCAAATCGATTTATCGTAACAACTTTGATTTCGTTTTATTCGAATAATGTTAAAAATTATTTCGTTTTTTCACGATAAACTCGGTTTAAGAAAAGGCTAACTCTGAACGAAAAGAATAGAAGTACCTCTCGAGATTGCGAGAGAATTCGTCCCTCTTTCCTTAGGCACGAAGATATTCAGGTATAAGGAAACGATGACTGGGCGAAAACTTGCAGAAATAGTGGGAGTGGTAGAATCATTTATTGGCTTGGACACAATGGTTATATATAGACAGCTGATAATGGGAGAGGAGAGGAATATTTTCCTCCCTCCGTCCGAGGAAAATGGGTTATGAAGCTAATATGATAAAAATTCCACTCCGAACTTAAAATATCTCATCGTTACGTAACAATTCTTCAAATATAAGAAGTAGATTCCTCGAAAAAGAATTCGATTCGTATTACAATTCAATTGTTACTGTTCGCGTGTTATTATCCACTTTGTCGATTTATATTTCGTTACATAACTTATGAAATGGAAAAATATTTCAAATGAAATTTATTCCAACTTACGATCGATCTTGTACGTACAACAATATTTCGATATAATTCTATATTAACTTCCACGTTATAAATAAATAAAAAAAAAGAAAAGACTACGTGCATCCTACGTCCTCATCCCTGATGCACTACATTTAATTAACATCGATCGGGTGTGAAGGAATGCCTTCCAATCGGCCAAGTGTGCAACAGGTGTGTTCGAAATGAGTTTTTTCCCATGTAAGGTCGGAGAAGGAAAATCCGAAATCTATCATCACTGAAAACTGACTCGGTCGGAAACACCCTTCACCGCCAGAATGACCGCAAATCAAATTAAACAGCCATAACAATCACACACGATCCATGCGTTTCACGCGATGCGTGATAAATTATACGTAATATTCGCTAAATTGCGTGATAAAGTTTCGTTTGCAACGTTATTACGTTTAATCCGCAATGGATTACACGTACGGTCGATAAACAACAGAGGAGTCCATTACAGTGGAAAATGATTCGATTGAGCTGCACGATGGTACAAATAATTCGCCACGTCTTTCGCCATCCTGGGCGCAGTTAATGGATCGAATACTTGTCATTTTACTTTCACTTCTTCTTATCTATTTATTTCTTATCTATTTGTTTCAGTGTGCAACATAACGCTCGACAGCAGACAGTTGTTCAGCAAATCGGATCGCGGATTTGGCCAAATAAAGTCGCCATCCCTTGAAGGGCCATCGAGGTGTACCTACAGATTTGTCCCGGACACAGGCCAAAGAGTCGAGTTGCAGATCTATCGATTGATCTCTATAGGACGACACAACGGTACCGCGTAAGTAGTATTTTCTATGCTCTTTTATTTCCGAACAATGACCGGTTTTAAACGGTTTTAAATAGAGTTTGATTATAAAATTGCATATCTTCGAATTTACATTTATCTTTTACAACAAGATCAAAGGGATGTTTTCGTAATCAAAGAGAAATTGAAATTTCAATTTGTAGATTTATATTTACGAGATTCAAATAATTCCTCGTGGATATTATATAAAGGAATTGTTTTCGGTGATATATACGTTTATCTACATATTGTTATTGGGTTTTTTTTTCCTTGTTTAAATATCAGATACAATTTTGTATCGTATCCGCGGGTGAAAATATCATATTGATTTTTAATTTTAAAAGGGATTTATTAAATTCTGTCGATTTATCGTATTTTTTATTAATTTCACTTTGTCAATGTTTTTATTAATTTCCCGTATTTTTTTTTTCTTTTTTTACTTATCTTGTTAAGATTGTTTCTCAAAAATTTTTATCGTCCGTAAATTCTTCGTGATTCGTTCGAAATGCAAAAAAAAATCATTGAAAGAAATTATTAAAAAAAATAATCATCTCACTTCTGGATAATTTGTCGAATTCAACGATCCGCGAATTTCAAACGATAAAAAAGTATGTTCCATTTCAACGAGAGAAACTCGAATCGTGAAGAAATAGCGTCGGAATAATATTTATTCGACGCGATTACATCAGAAATTGCGTGTAATAAATAATATAAAATCGAAGGGAACAACGAGACGACGCTCGCGGACATTCGCGTTTGATTCAACCTTTCAGCATTAATCAAAAATACTTTTTAATCACTTTGGGCATACTCATCGCTCTCGTTGCTCTTTTATTTCGTTGTTTCGCTTTCAATTAAATTAACATGGTGCACGCGTGCGCGAAGCATACAACTTGAAATGCGTTTTACCAGGCTGAAAATTGTTATTGCGATAAATCTTGTTTCGCGATATCCGTTGTATCGGGCTCTTTTCATGCGAGAAACAATCCATTTCTCGTTACACGTGTCACTTGACGGGAAAAAGCGGTCAACGACGCATACGATGTGTGCTGTTCAAGCTTCATTATTCAGAGTAATCCGGCCACTTACATCAAATTAACCAAAGTGTATAAAATTAGTGGGACGTTGCTGCCATCGTTTACATTCAGCGGAAAGTTTCTTCATTTTGTTCATTGAATTAACTGTTTGTAACGTGTTTGCAATATTTCAACCTCAAAGTAGAACAAAGTTGCACGAATTTACTCGTACAATATTGCTTTCATCTATTCTATTGTAATCTTCATATCATATAGGAATTTGATGCGGCTATTTATATCAACTTTATCGAATTGATTTCAGATGAAAAAAAAAAAACAGATATAATCTTATCGAAGATAATGTAAATAAAAATATATAAATTATGATTATCCTAATCACTTCTCGCTACGTGATAACTCGTCTCAAATTCAACGAGCGAAAGTCCATCATCAATGATGGAAATACGAATTGTGCAAAAGTAATTTTCCTTTAAAGGAAAATGTACGGATACGGAGGCGATCATGAGAAGAGGAATCGAGGGAAGTTTTCCAGTGACCGATATGATTTGAGATCGCTCGTGTCGATGGTCGTTTCAATTTGTCATACTTCCGTTCTTACATGGACCATCGCCCCCACACTTAAACTCCTCTCGACGCGTGTAGATGGGGCAACGCGACCCTGAGAACCGGCCGGACAGTCTCGAAAGAAAAATTATCGTTTTCCGAAAGCGTTCTTCCCCGCCCTCGCTCGACCAGAATGGCGACGAAAGTTCGAGTTCGCAAGAGGCCTTCGACAAAGCTTCGCGAAAGTTCTTACAATTTTACGACGAGACCTATCCCCTCTCGTTCGTTTCTTCTCTCCCTCCGATATCGAACAGGAGCAACTTGAAGCATCCGGAAACGGCTCGAGTGAAATCGTTTTCGTTTATCAGACTCGACGACGTTAATATCGAATCGAGGTAAATTTTTCGATATTCGATCGCGTTTTATAATTGCTTTCGGCCAATTTTCACGATTTATTACAGAGACGAGATGAGTTATGAGCGATATTATTATTATTTTTTTTTTTTGAAATTTGGAAAAATGGAAATATTTAAAATAATATTCCACCACTTCGATATTTAATTTCTCTAATCGAGCATTTCTTTTTAATTTTCAGCACGCTGACTGGTACGGCTTTTATGTTCCTGCACTCGTAGCTTTCGAATCACTTCGAAAGCTGTTACGTAAAGAAGTTTATTTGCTAAAAGTCTCGACATCGAATTCCGTATACTTGATTTTTCCCGGGGGGTCGTTTGTAATTCGTTCGAGAATTCATACGCTCCGCGAAGTAGGTTCCGAGGGGAAGAGAAATCGCGTTGCCTGACAAGGAAGGCGGGTACACACAAGGGTTGGAAGGGAACGGCGGGGAGAAAAAAGTAAAAATAATCGTCGGCGTATTGTAGTAACGGCAATAATTCCGGATAAAGTCGATAAGCCCGAGGGGAATGGAAATTCGCATTATGGCTTTTCGATACCTTAGCTTTCGCGCTTCTCCCTCGTAGATAATTTAAATCTGACGTTCCCCGCCGTAAGGCCTCGATGTATCGCGGCAAACAGATTACCACTTAACCTGTCGATACTCATCGATCCCTGGGAAAATCTGGAGACACTGCGCCAATCTCCTTACCTACCTAGGGATAATTTCCTTTTCCTCCGCGACTCACTTGCTCGCGAGATTTTCACGGGAGACGGACGTTCGTTTAATAAACGTTTTATGAAACGAGGCGCATTTTGTGGAAGCTGTCGGTGAAGTTTTCCACCAGTGGAAAACTGGAAACTGCGAGCATTCAGCATTCACGGGACTGTTCATTACCGCCGTCCTTCTTTCACGAGAGGTCCGCTTTATTTTTCAAACTTGAACGATTTATCACCGACCGTGTCCTCCTTTAACTAAAAGCGCCGCGAAAATGGAACTTGTAAAAAATATAAAAGCTCGAAGTTTTGCCCGTTAACGAAAGCGAGCCACGGCTTGAAGCGAGAAATATCGTTACGCTCGCGCATGTTCTTCGCCTTTTACCTGTTCCTTGAACGTTGCCGTTTGAGAAATTGCAATGGCTCTTGCGAAAAATTGCGAGACCGACCGGTTCTCCTTACCTATTCTATCCTTGGGATATTTCTCACGCTAGATCGTTAATAGTTTGCCGACAGTATCGACGCGTCTCGTGCGTTTTACAGAATTTATGATAATCCGCAGCGAGATTATCGACAAAAGTGTTTTGAGTCAACTTTTTGGAAAATGGAGACGAGTTACGTTACAACGATCCGATGTGGTATGCTATTTTACAATGCTCGTAAAACTTCATAAACTCCATCAACTGATAGTTACTAAATTACGGACGTAAAACTGAAAGTAAAAATTGTTTGCTAGTCGTCTGATCGCACAGGAGAGTTAGCTACTTAGTACTTGTCTGATCGAACATCGATATGTACTACTTGATACATATATCTGAAGAATGAGTTTTTTAAAAAAAAAATCAATTTATTTATTTAATATATTTGATGAGGATTCTATCAATTACTAATATGTTCATTTTTTCTTTCTTTCTAGAAAAACCATTCCATCAAAAAAAGGAACGCATCCATCGAAAAATCTTACGTCAATATCTCTAATTTTCCAAGTGCAACTTCCAACACGTCTCTCAACGTCAAACACGAGTCTCTTTTACTCTTGTTCGAATTTCAACGCGTGCGCGCACACGAGCGTAGTTCAAAAGAATTTCCATCCCTTTCAGAAAAGACGACCACTCGAACGATATATTCAAATATTTACCCTCCTCGCGCCCTTTGCCTCACTATGCATACACTTCGACGAGACGAAGGCGTCTCCAGCGTCGATCTTTTTCCGCAACTCCTTGCATTGCATAGGCGTGCACGAACGAGCACCGCGTTGAGTGAAATTACATCGCTCACCGGAATACTATTAAATGAGGTAACGGAATAAAATAGGGCCCGTGGATGATGGATGATCTTAATTTTGCTATGATTACCGGCGGTGGCTTGGGAATTTGTATGAAAATCGCTCAGAGCTGGTTCTTTCACTATCCTGTACCATCGTCTTCTTCCCATCCGCTCTTTTTTTCTATCCTTCCGTTTTTCTATCTTTCACTCACGGATCCCATATTTTTTAATCGCCCTCCCATTCGTTTCTCGTTAATTCAATATTGCCAATTCGAAAGATAAAAGACGGTGAAAGACGCTGATAGACGCTTATGAATGTTGCATAATTTTGAATATGAGGAATTTTTATTTAATTTCCGTCAACAACGATTTTCTTTTTTCTAAGGATTTCTTTTCTTATTCATAAAGATAGTCATAAAAAAATTTAATTGATTTTTCATGGAGAAAGATGATTGTGAAATAATTATGAGATTTTGGCAATAATTATCAAGATACATAAGATTCATGCTTTAAAAATCTTTCAACATTTATACATTTTTATTTTTCTTTTAATAAAAATGTATGTTTTCATGTTTTATTTCTAGTTTTAGACTTGCTATATAGTTTTTATGCTAATAAATTTTGTATATATATACTTGAAATATTCACATAATATAATTATTTATTTATTTTTCAAATTGTAAAGAAAGAATTATTTTATCAATTTCGAATATTTATAATTCCTAATTTCCTAATAATAAAATAAAAATAAATTCTTAAGCTTAAATTATCTTATATAAAAATCATTGTTCTGTTTTAACCTATCTTGCAAGTCTTTCTTTTGTAAAAGTAGAATGTTTACAATTTGTGAAATAAACTTCATCCTACTAGCTAAGGTTTCAAGTTCTTATCTATTCACATATCCATACAATTTTGAAACATATATCTCGTTCTGAAACATGTTTACTTTAACTCTCGACTGATTTTACGACCTCGCTATATCGTAACTTGTACTGTATCTAACCTCACTCTCGGTTCCGTTGCAATAATCAAAATCAG